TGGAACGTTGTTAGGGATGCCTGTAGTGAATTTACTCTTCCCCCAGTCAAGTAGATTCACAAATGGAAGCAGAAGTAATCAACAGTTAAAAGACGATTTAAAGATGCTCTAAATGGCAGTCACCAGTGTTTGCAGTTGAGAGTCATAGAGGAAGCTTCCATCTAATCAGAATAAGAAATGAGAAAAAGCATGTTAAGGATGCTACCCTCATTTTGTCCTATAGAATCAATTTGTAATTCAAGTGTGAGGTTGGAATAAATATTTGAAAGCTAGCACAATTAAGAATAGAAGGCCTGAGGGAGCTCTGGTGGCCTAGTGGCAAGAAGCTGCACTGCAATACCAGAGGCACACGGTTTGAATCCACCAGATGCTGTGCTGGAGAAGGATAGACAATCTTTTCCTGTACCATTCAGATCCGATTGTATGGTATACAAATAAAAAATAATAAAATAAAATTTTATTAAAAAAGAATAGAAGGCCTATATAGAATTAAGTGAATGTTTGGGAATTATTTGTTGGATTTGTCTTGAAAGCAGCCAAGGTGTTCGTAAATATTTCCCTCCACATTCCCATTGCTCTGTCACAGAGAGCCAGCTCTCCAGGAACCTTCATTTAGGTGGCTCTGTACTTAATCCCCACCCTCAGAGTGGCTGTCAGTTCTCTGTGGGATATTGTGTTTATGAGATTGCAAATTTGTAGAGCAGAAGATCACTGTGGTAATTTTTAAAAATATAATTTTCAAGCATTCACAAATGACAAAAATAATACTCATGTACTATCTTCTCTATTCACGGTGTTGGTGGTAATTCCTCAAAGTCATCCAGGAGTGAATTAGCGGCATCTTAAAGAATCACCAGGTCCCCTCTACACAGTCAGGCCAAATCATGGGCATGTTGATCATTTCACACATGTTCCTCCTTAGGCTCATTGATTTGGACACATAGATCCCTTTCTTACACAGTAGTGCTGGGAAAACCAGCACCAAGATAGTTTCAAAGGCAAGAACTGCAGACTGCATGAAACTTCTCTCCCCAGTGCTGAAAGACCTTGACCAGACTTGAATCTACTCACTCACATGCCATTGGTATGAACTGCGAAGCTAATTTAGCCCAGGTGAAGTTACAAGTACCATGTTTTTGTCTATTTGTTAGAATATAAGACATGTAACAAAAGTAATATAGTTTGAGAAAACAAGACATTTTCCCTGTAGATTTTTACATTGGGTCTTTTGACTGGATTAGTTGCAGTAGAAACATCTTTTCCAGAGGAATTTCAGGATTCAAGTAGGTGAAATTCCTTGCTAAAGGATAGTTTTCTACTAGTCAACACAAATCAGTTTCTTAGATATTAACCATTAACCATGGTTTCCTGACATTGATTGAAAGGATGCATTTTTTTTGTTGTTGTTGTTTTTTAATTTTCAGATATATTTAGCATTAAAACTTAACAGGATTCTGTATGGTCTAGTATGATGTCAGTCTGGAGCCTAAGGTGCGCCTAACACAGGCCCTAGTTTTCACAATTGCTTGCTAGGCATAAGAGAGCTGTACAATGACTAGGGATGACAGAAAAAGAATTGATGCTTTTGAGCTGTAGTGCTGCAGAAGAGTATTGAATATACCATGGACCGCTAGGAGATGAACAAACAGGTTCATCCTAGAGAGGGTGAAGCCAGCCTGCTCCTTGGAGGCACAAATTCCGAGGCAGTGACCAACTGAAAACCAGAAGGCATTTTAATAATCTTCCCTTAATTCTTAGAGATAGGTAAAATCAAGAAGTCTTTGTTTTAAATTATAGTCCTTGTTATCAGCATCTGTTTTCATCCATTCTTTCCAATGTTGTTGGTATCTGTGGTCATTTCTGGTTTTAACAGGTAAGTCCATACCGTGTATACTTTTTTTCCTAAAGACAGATGTGCTTTTTTCCCGTTTGTTTTGACTTCTATATTATTTTTATCTATTTTTAATTTTTTGCCGTATTTGCTAAAATTATTCAAGATGAAATGAACATAATAGAACATATATTTTTTAAAACACCTTTCTAGTTTATCTCAGTATAATGGATGTTGCTCTAATTAGAGATTCCACGAGCTGAGACTGTTTTGTTTTCACTTTTACCCCTTAGTCAAGAGTCATCCTGAATCACACATTGTCTATAATGAATTATTAATTTATTCTAACCTCCATTCAAGTTTTCTTTTAGTTATTAGTATAAATCATGACTAAAGCATAGAGTACATAATAGTACAATAAAATTTTGGGGTTTTGTTTACAATAAAATGTTTGTTTAACAGTCTGACTCCCTGTTAAAATACAGGAAACAAAAGCATTGAATGGAATAACTTTTCACTTGATCGGGGGTTAGCAAAGTTTTTCACTAAAAGGTCAGACTAGGACATATTTTTGTCTTTGCAAATTGGTGGTGTTTCTCTGAACCTCCTAACACTGCTGTGAAGCATGAGGAGACGTCAGATATAAATTAATGAGAACTATGTTCTAAGGAAACTTAGTTGCACAAACAGGTGGTGGGCCAGTGTTGAGCCCTTGGCATTAGTTTGCTTGGCTTCTGAGCTGAAGCATGTGTTCTATAGCTAAGCGAATCAGCACTCAGATCTTCCCATTATCTCTTACTGCCTTCTAGAAGCCTCCGTTTTTAAATGGCCATGGTCATCATAGTTCCTACCTCTTCTTAAAAGGATCAAATAGACTGTGTATGCCAAGTGCTTAGACCGGTACTTGACACACATGTCAAGGTCAGCGCTCAGTACCTAGTAGTTAATCTGTATGTTAGAGATGATAAGGATGACACAGGATAGGACATGGGTTAGACCTATTGTTAAAGGGTCACTATAAGTTGTTCATAACTAGACAGCACTTAACACCAACAACAGTCTACTCTTTGAGAGTGTTGGTGGTGCCAGACGGCAACCCAAAAGGCTGACACTTTGAACCTGCCCATCAGCTCAACAGGAGAGGGTTGATCTCTTTCCATAAAGAGTACAGCCAAGAAAGCGCAATGAGGCAGGTCTACTCTGTCACCTGGTATCATTATCCGTTGAGCTACCTAACAACAAACTGCTTTTAATTGTTCTCATTCTTCTTATGTTATTATTGATGTGTTTCTGAAGACTGCTGAGATTGGTGTCCTGTAGATCCTCAGGGGTGTCTCCAGAGCGAGCATGCCACAGGCCCCGGAGCCCAAAGAGGCAGACAAGCATCCACCTGAAGCTCCCACTGCAGTTTGCTTCAGCTGTCCTTCCACGCCCAAGAATACCGGGTGGTCTCTTTGTTAACAAACACAATATGTGCACAGTTTTAGAGCTACAGATACAGAAAGCGGCATCCATTTATGTACACAGTTGAGGGCATTGATGTGAACAGAAAAGAGAAATGAATGTGTGTACAAACTTGAGAGGATGTTAGAAGAACCAGCCAAGTTGCTCTTATGACTTCTGGGACATGTTGTTGTTGTTGTTATGTGCCATCGAGTCGCTTGCGACTCACAGTGACCCTATGTACAACAACCCTAAACTCTGCTCTGTCCTGTGCCAATTGCACTGTCTCTGACACTCCCATCCTGACTACCTGAGTCACCGAATCAATCCACCTCATAGAGGGCCTTCCCCTCTTGCGCTGTCCCTCCACCCTCCCAAGCATGATGTCCCTCTCCAAGGACCTGTCCCTGCTCACAGTATGTCCAAAGTATGTTAGATGGAGCCTCAGAATCCTTGCCTCCAAGGAGTAGCCTGGTTTAACCCTCTCCAGGATTAATCTGTTTGTTTTCCTAGCAGTCCATGGTAAATTCAGTACTCTTCTCCAGCACCACAGCTCAAAGGCGTCAATCCTCCTTCTATCCTCCCTAGTCATTGTCCAACTCTCTGGTGCATAACAAGTGATTGCAAAGACCATGGCCTGTATCAGACGCACCTTAGTCTCCAGAGAGACACCATTGCTCTTCAATACTTTGGAGCGGTCCCTAACAGCAGACTTTCCTATGGCAATGCGCCTGGGACATAGATGTATATATTTAGGGCTGAAAGTGGGTTATCTTTGCTGTTAGAGAACACTGAATCTGCATATGAGCGTCCTGAGGAAGATGAGCTTTAAAATAACTCATGTACTCAATTCACCGTTGCTTAGATTGAAAAAGTGCTGATGAGAGAGGCATGACTGTGGTAGACATCAGCATTTATTCAAACAACTAGCAGAAGCTCCACGTCGTATTTTTATGTTTTCTTTCTTGCTGGTTTTCTTGCCCCCTTCATTATTATTTTTTTATGCCTCGAAGCCTCAAATTTCTCTTTAGTAATAAATGGAAATTGGAACAACACTCCCAGTGGAACACGAAGAACCTGTGATCTATTTCCAAAAAAAACTACCCATATGAGACATAGGCTTCTCTTGGGTCTTGTGTTTGGTGTCTCACTTGATTGTTGAACTCTCTAAGAACTGTGAAAAAATATCCTCCAAGAGAAAGGGTTCCGGGTCAGATCTTTTCCTGAAGTCTAAATTTTCACTAACTCTTAGTGTCTAAGTGGTGGATTACAAAATTAGTATTCAGGTAACTTCATGTACTACTCAAAAGAGTCCTTGAGAAGACTATTTCTCCTTTTTTCCATGTCCATATTTGTTAGTCAGATTGAACAAATTTCTAATGCAGTCATGTTCTTTCCACACTTTTTATTTGTTTGATTTGGATACTGGCAACAGAAAAGAAAGATATGTAACAGCAGCAATTAGGGCATATTTGATTCAAATTCTTTGAAAATGGAATGGAACTTAATAATTAGTGGTACAGAAATTTTTATTTAAAGATATGTTTTCAAGTGATAGATACCCATAACTTATAAAATGCTGTTTAGCTAAACTAGTAAAGGCTGTTTAAGTGTTTATCGATTTCTATGCAGGGTACTTACTTCCTGAAACCCCTAACTGCCTTTGCCTTATGGTAACTAAATTGGTTGGCTCACATGACTTTCTTCCCACCATCCTTTGTCACAGGTCCTAGTGCCACCAATCTCATAATAGGCTCCATCGCTGGTGCCATCCTGGTAGCGGCTATTGTCCTTGGGGGCACAGGATGGGGATTTAAGTAAGCTATGCCGCATGTCTTCTTCTCAGTGGCTCTGGCACTTCTCTTTTCTGCTTACATAACCAAGTTTTGAGTTCCTGCTACAAGATGTGAGGTTTGGAAAGTCAAAATGCTAAAAAAGAAGTCTTTTCTCTTTGTTCAGAAATGGGTTGGAAAGAAGAGACATGAAGCCACAAATGCCACCTCCAGGCAGGTGGGAAACATGAAGGGTAGAAGGAATCCACATGTACTAGTTTAAGGAGAACCTCAGAGAAGCTCTTCCACAGAAGGCATTCCAGATTTCCAGAGCAAGGTTCTGCTCTCCATTTGTTTATAAACAGATAACTTTCCAACCTTGTGGTTGGAAATAAGTGTATATAAAGTACTGTTGTTGTCATGTGCCCTCACCTGCATCTAGTAGCAACCCTGTGAACTACACAGCTGAAAACCTGTCGTATCCTATGCCCCCTTCACCCTCTCTGAAACATTTGACACCATTGCAACAGTCACTGTGTCAGGCTATCTTGTCAAGGGCCTTGCTCTCTTATGCTGACCTTCCATTTTTCCAAGCATGACTTCCTTCTCCAAGGACTGGCCCCTCTTACCAACATGTCCAAAGTACGTGAGAGGAAGTTTTAACACCTTTGCTTCCAAGGAGCAAATAAGTGCATATAAAGTATTAATTGTTTGAAACATATATTCCACTGATAGACTCCATTTTTAAGATGTCACAAGCTATCTTTCTATTGACAACTATTTTTCAGCTAATGCCGTTATATATAGTTTTGTGATTGGAAAAAGTCATTATTTTTACAATACATTTTTTATAGATTTTTTTTTTTTCATTAACTCAATAGCTAACTGAATTGGTATTTGAAATCCCTGACTTAGTGATGCATTATTTTCCAACTCGCTGCAAATGTTCACATGACTGATAGGTCTGGCATATTTTCTTAATTGCCTTTTGGTTTGGATGACACATTGAACACTTAATTTCATTCCTTAAATAGGCAAATCAGGGAATCATAAATAGACCTTAATGATTATCACAGCATTTTCACCTGATTTATCCAATTTAGATGTTTCTACACTTCAGATTCATTGGATAATTGCTTTTTTACACTTTTTCATGCTGCGAGAACTTGATTATTATGATTTGTCGATAACACTTCCTGTGCCAAATATTCCCTTTGTTAAATTTCAACCATATGAATAGATGCAAATCTAGTAAAAAAATAACATTGTTACCTAAATTTAAAAGCCACCTTTCCCCCATGTACTTACACAACCGAATCATCATGTGACCTGAATTGCCTTAATTATGTTTATTCTTTTTTGTGATTGGAATCATGAATCTGCTATATCAAAACCAGCTACAATACTATTATAAGAAATTCCTTATGAAAAGCAAACATGCAATTTAAGTAATTGCAGCATTTCCTGCTAATTTTGTTTTCATATTAAGATCCAATGAGGAAGCCTATAGGGTTTTTTGTTTTGAGGTTTTTTTTAAAGGATTCAACTTGGAAATTTGTTCTCAAATGGTGCTTATTTTCCACAGGGGATATTTATAAACTTGTTTTGTGAAACACTGTTGCTACCAGTATGTTTTTTAAAGTACACATGAAAGATGCAACATACATTTAAATTCCTTAATGACATTAACCCAGTCTCCCAGAGTGTTCTTGCAACAAATCCAAGAGCACGTTGTTTGCACTGGTCTAATACAAGCACAGCCTCTCTTAGTGCCTCACTGCTTTGAAAAAGTCTCTGTACATTATGGTAGTTCCATCCTCTGCTTCCACTTTATCATATGCTCCTTGAACTTTCTCATAAACATGCCTCTAGAAGAAGAAATTTGGTTCTTACTAATGCTCGAGCCAACTTGACATTAGGAATCTTCCACCATAGAGACTCTTTCACCTTGTGCCTCTGCCATCCAAAATTTTCATTCTCATGTTTGACGCTAAGAGCACTTCTCTGTAGCAGGACCTCAAAACAGCGGCCTGGCCTAGCTCACAGCTTGAACTGCATGTTTCTCTGGGGAAAAAGCCGAAAAAGCCTCCATCACTGTGTATAGAAGTGAATTAGGCCTGATACAGATTAGTTCTGTGGGAGAGAAATGTCTGACCATCAAAATGGCAAAAAGAAAAGTGAGGGGACTGGTGCATCGTGACTTGTGAAACAGCCTTGTCGATGCTGTGTGGGGGTGGCTATGTAGGTACAGATACTACCGAACCAAGTCACAATTCCTTCTGTATCTCTGACCTTCATAATCACAGGAAGGTAAACAGTAGGTAGACATGCATGTAGTAGTGTGAAATATGTATTAACCTGCCCCAAAGCAAAGGGAAAAAAATTGAACATTTAATTTAGGAGATTGCATTTGGGGAAGCTACTTCTCTTATGTTGCCTACATGAGATCCTAAATTTCAGTTTATACTTAATAGTAGTTATGTGACTTTAGTGCATTTTCTATGACTACTTTGCAACAAAAGACTTTGGGTCTTGAAGGAGAATGAATAGGACTTCCTACTATTTTGATAATTTTGGTGATTAGTGTTGACATTTATGGTTTAGAAGTATAATTATTTGCTGATTGAGAACCTTTGAATTCTTCATTTAATTCCATCTTAATAAAGAATAGGGTTCTTTCTGAACGAGAATTTGGAAATAGTGTGTTAAAAAACACTTGCTCAAAACAGTGGTGTTGGAAATTCTCCTGAAAGCAGAGTTTTATAACTAAAAGAAAAATTTTCAGAGTAGTCTGAAGGAGGTCAAGGATTGAAATCTAAAAAGAATATTTTATTAAAGGGAAAGATAACATTTTCTGGTAAAGTCCTGACTGCTAATACCAGATTTCTCTAAGTGTCACACTGAGTAACTTAGATGCCATCTGTCACCTTGATGTTCAAATACAAATGAAGAGGATGGTGGTGCTCTAAGCTTTTATATTCTTTCGTTATTTATTACTTATATTTTTAAAACCATATTTTCTTCCAAATGGATAGTAAAAAAGCATATGTGAATGTGAGTATGAGTGTGTGTGTGTAAAGGGATTATCAAAGTCATTGTGAAAAGTAATTTGAAAGTAATATCATTTTAGACTACTTTTTCTCAGTAGTGTAGGAGAAGGACGGGCAATCTCCTCCCATGTGATTAATGGCCTCTGGAAACCAGCTGGACGGTCAGCTATGGGTCAGTTCTGACTCTGTGGTACACAACAATGACAACTTCTCACTAGTATAGTGGATTTTTAAATTTTGCTTCATGCAAACATGACTTCCACATATTAGTCTGTGGATTCCTGAAAAGATTAACATTATTAGGTGAATTATTTTCTCTGGTATACTTGGACATATTGAGAACGGGGGTGGCTACACCTGAGAACTTTCATTAAGTCCGAATGTATGAGGAGACTAAAGAGCCTTTTATTCTGTGGGTTCTTACGTCTTCCAGGTTTCAGACTTCTTTGAGAGATATTTGATTGGAAAAGGAGCCCCCCCCCCCCAGTTTGGCGGACTTTCTCCTGTACCTGCATTTTCTTCTGTATGCCCCACCGTACTTTTTTTTTTAAGAGATGATTAGTGAATTTAATGAAATATAAATTCATATTTCAGTATTGATTACATCTTAATGTCAAGAAAACAAATATTCTTACCACTGGACCAGTAAGCCTTCAATGTGGATTACACCTCACCCTACTTTTCTTTCCTGAACACAGACTGAACTGCTAAGCAGAAACTTGCACAGCTTGTCTTGTTTGGCTCATGGAAATCCTTGTTGCCTGTCCCATGTTGAATAATAATGCTGCTCTATTAGACTATGAGAGCTTCTATATCCTCTGAACATTGTAGGAGAAAATAACTAGGTGACAGATCTGTTTAGTGGTATCTTTCCTAAAGCTTAGGAAAGTGGGAAAGTATAACAGAAGAGACCAGAGAAAGTGTTACTGGGAAATATTGTCTAGGGAAGAGCAGGGAAAGAACTTGAAGGTGGTCGAGCATAATTTACTAACAAATTTAAGTCAGAAGCATTTGAGGGCAAATACTGAACGTCAGTATAAAATTTCAGAACGCTCTGGTGGCTTCGTGGTTAGGAGTTGTACTGCCAGCCCAAAGGCTCTTGGTTCAAACCACTAGCTGTTCCATGGGAGAGAGAAGGGCAGTTTCCTCCTGTGTGATTAACTGCCTCTGAAAATCTACTGGAGTGTCAGCTATGAGTCGTTTCCAACTCAGTGGTACATTACAGTAACAAGTGTAATGTTTCAGCTAGTGGGACCCCATCATGAGGCTCAACTATCCATCCTGCCACTGGGGGAATTAGTGATAGCTGTTTTCAGCCACTACCAGTAGCAGCCACTTATTAAAGCTGTTCATGACATTAAAGGTCATTTATAAGTCAGTGTAATTGTTATATGTGATTTCCTCTCTCTGGATAAGTTACTTCCTTGGGATACATTCAAACTGAGCTTGATTTTACGTCTAAAAAATTCTGTATCATTTGTGTGACATTTTGTCAAACATGCTAAAGAAAAACTGTATCCTCCCATAGAAGCACATGTTACCTAGTTCAACACAAGGAAAGGCAGCCAAACCATTTGATGTCAACTTGAATAAAATTTGAAAAGATTCTAACATTGTTAATTACATTTTGTCAAAATATTAAATCTTTTTAATTTGTTTTTTCTTCTTCTGGAATTGAATCACTTTTAGCTAGTCTATCCATCAGGAGATGCTCGCTAATTTGTATGCCATGGTCATTTTCCAGGGCAAAAGAAATGAGCCTAGCATGTGAATCTGTTTAGTTAGGTGCTTTCTCATTCATCTAAGCCAGTAGGGGCTAAGCAAGTTCAACACAACACTGTTGGGACTTCCTTGGAGGTGAGGGCTTCTGAATCTGGTCCATTTCTGTGGTTTTGTGTAGTGAGCATGTACAAAGATGAGAATGTGATTGTTATGTAGTTGTTGTGTGCCACCAAGTGGGAACCAACCGATATCTGACCCTCCAGAAGGTTTTCAGAGGCAGTAAATCACACAGGAGGAGATGGCCCCTCTCTCACAGAGCATCTGGTGAATTTGAGCCACATGCCTTTGGGATTGCAGTGCAGCTTCTTACCACTAGGCCACCAGAGCTCCGTAAGAACAATGATGATGGTTGAGAAATACAGTCATGTGAAAAAAAAATAAAAAGACTGAAGCTTTACAGCCTTGGGGTAGTTATTGTATGAGAGTTTTAATTTTGAATAGGTAGGTAGGTAGGTAGATAGCTAGATAGCTAGCTAGATAGCTAGCTAGCTAGATAGCTAGCTAGCTAGCTAGATAGATAGATAGATAGATAGATAGATAGATAGATATTGACAGATATTGATGGATAGATAGATACATACATAGATAGATACATAGATAGATAGATAATACTATAGGAGGAAGTACAGATTTCTCAGAAGTAATAAAAATGTTTCAATGGCAAGTTATGGATTACACTGAAATTGTATAGTGATTCAGAAATAGCTAACACGTTGATGAGAAAATGTGATAAGCATTCAGAGGAAACAAGGCAGAAGGATGACAACAAGTACCCACTCACAGTAATTCTATTTTCATGTAAAATAGAACCAAAAAAATTCTTTTCACATGGAAAAATCAGGTCAGGCAGTCCTCAACATATAGTGCCTGAGAGGGGGGTGGGGTTTTGCCAGTTACGGACAAAGGACTTCCCCAGCTCTAACAGTCACATGAGTGCCCTGAGCTGCCTTCGTCACTGGGCTCTGCCTCCTTTATTACAGCATGCCTCCCGCCTGCAACCTCAATGAAGGAAAAATGTTCCTGGAATCTCCTTTGTTGTTCAGTCCGTTTTCACACAGAAATACTTGGTTCTGCAGCATGACTCAGCCTGCTAGGCTGACCTGGGAACCTAGTCACCCTGCAGAACATTGTTTCTAGAAAAAACTCAAGCTTAGCGTCAAAAACCAAATTTTTAAAAAGGACCGAAGATTTTGAGAGCTTGCAGTTGCCCGCACATGAGGCTAGAATGGAGGTTTTTTTATGAATGAGCAGGATTATCATCAGTAGCCTTGATGGGGCTCTTAATCGGATACTCCTTAAATTTGAATAGAGGAACTCAGAGGCAGGCAGTCTACACTAACAGCTTCTTGGTTTGTTCACTTCACCCTGATGGCATATATTTTCATTAACTCAGCAGCCATTTACTTCCATTTCTTGAGTTTCAACATTATAGGAGATCCTCTCTTTTGCTTTTCATCTGTTTACTAGACATTATCAACAATGCCTACCCTCCAAAGAGGGTGAGTTGAAAGAATAAAACAAAGGAAGTTATGTTTGCAGCACTGAAAGTCGTACCAATGAATTACATGCTTATGCCATTAATGGACTGTTAAAATGATTTTTTTTTAAGGAGAGGTATTTAAAGTCTTTTCAAACTTGATATTTCAAAAGAGGGGTTAAAATGGTCATCTTGGGCAAAGTAAGGGCTGCAGTATCGTGCTTCGAGATGATTTTCTTTTTTAATTACCTGAGGTTGACGAGGAATCTGTTCTAATCTTTCCATGCTTAAGGGCTATAATGGTACGGAACAGGCCCAAGCAAGCGGGCAGGGCAGTGAGGGCTCTTGGGGACTCCTGCATCTCCAGTGTTGCATGATGCCTCCATGGCAGCAGCGTTGCACACGTGCAGTGTGCAGACTATATGCATGAGCCCTTGCTTGATGCCCCACATGAAGCCAGACCATGGGGAGGTTGCAACCAACTTCCGTTGTTGCTTTGTAGTGTCTTGCTGGTTCCCATTCTTATCTCTCTCCAGACTTAGGAGCCACTTTTTAGGAGACTGGACATTGTGAGCAAGGCATTTTTACTTGCTTATTTTCAACTAAGCTGAACTGCTGCATTGGCTTAACTAACCCACGCGTGTGTCCATTCTCCTTGGAGTGTAATTGTGCACTGTGTTTTCTAACTTTCTAGATATGGAAAATGCTTGACTCCATAGTGGGGTAAGAGCTCATACACCAAGGCGGCAAGCTAATGTACAGTAGAGTCAACTGAGAAACAACTCCCAAGTCTTGGAGGGCTCATGAGCCTTAGAATTTTTGTTGGGTCCTCCTAATAGCCCCCTCAGTGGATGAGTTCACCCTTTTAATAATTTTCATCTGCTTAATTATCAATGCCATTTACTTTAGAACTAAGTGGCATTTGTCCCCTGTAGTTTCTTGGGATATAAAATTAACAACTCGGAACTTCTTTGACCTTTACAATTGGGCATACTTCAGGGAGTATGTTGCAAAGACATTAGGAAGTGTCAGCTAGGCTGTGTTTCAGTTTCAAGTTCTGTTAGGCAGCCTGCCTGTGTATGGGTTGATTGCTTTACTCTGGAACTAGCATTATTGTTATCCTCACCCTTCTCTTACCACGATCTGATTAATATTGTGGTTTTTCTCCCCCTCTGCTTGCATCTTCTTTAACGCACTCGGAAGAAATGTCAAGAAGAGGAGGTTTGATCCGAGCCAGCAAGGCCCTATCTGAGTCAGCTGCACTGGAAGGCCTTTACCTTGTGCTGTTGGATTCTGGGTATGACGTACTTACATCAACGTTGCCAGAACTCTTAAGTCAATAAGCAACAATATTGAGTGGTGATGGCTACAGAACTAAGGTTGGGGAGACAGAGATGGGTCAAAGAAAACTTTTTGGAGAGAATTTCAAAGAACTCTTCCCATCACTTGTCAATTAAAGGGGGAACAAAAGACCAAGACTCTTAAAACAGTTGTTTCAGAATCTTTTTTTTGTAATTAAAGGAGGAAAGGAAAACAACAATAAAAATTAAGTGCAATAAAAGAACCATTAAAAAAATAGAAAATTATTTCCCCCCCTCAGCCTGCTGGCACTTAATAATCTTCTAAATGATTTGGCATGATTTTTCCCCCCTACCAATGACAAAACTCCAGTGGCATGAAGATCTAATTTTCGAAAGGGTAAAAACTGCATGGCCTATATACAACAACAAGCTAGCAAGTCAATCCTCAGCAAAACCTGCAACTGAATTCCTAAGGTGAAGATGATAGATGGACACACACAGAGCTGGCCTGGGCCTCTTCACATGAATTCCTGCCTGACCCCCACCTAGAACAGGCCATGTGCAGCTCCACGGCCCTGCTCTGGACTCACTTACCCATCATTCTTTCTCCTGGACCTGGCATCCTTTGGAAATGGGATCTGGAATTGGAACAGTGATGCCCTTGTATAGATGTTTTATATATGTAAATATGGAAATAAGAGATTTTGACACATCATTTTTCACTTGTCCGTATTGATATTTTTTTTTTCTTGTAAAGGATCTCTGTACATTTTAGTTGATCATTTGCTCCTTGTTTTGTATTTCTTTTCTCTATATTTTCTGTTCTTTGTCTCTGTCCTTCTCTCTTGTAACCTGCTGTACAGTGGTTGGTGGGCTTGCTTAAAAAGACAGATTTTCCCACAGATGCACAGAGTTTGGGCACAGCAGCGGTGCAATGTGAAATTGGTATGCTTAAAACCAAAAAAATAAACAAAAAGAGGAGGCACAAACAACAAAATACCCATATTGGAAACACAACAAAACATGTAAATGCAAATATATGTTGTACTAACAACAAGTCTAGAATTTTTTTGATGTCATTATAAACATGTGTATATAATGTAAGAAAATAGACACCCTTGCAAATTAATCACAAAAGTGCCAAGCTCATGATTTTATTTTTGACAATTTTTTCCCTGTCTTTAATGTGAAAGGAGTATAAACTTAAAGCCTTAAATTTAAAAAAAAATCTTTTTAAGTGTTGAAAGCTTGGAAAAAGTTAAGCTTTCCATTTTATTTGTATCTATTATTGTCCATATTTCATTTCTCCTTCATCGTCTTGCCTCAAAATATGTATGGCAGAAACCCATTGTAGAACAGCCTATGAGGACAGCAGTGGCAAATCCATTACCTTTTGTCAACCTTGTTATAAAGGCTGGTAGGCTGTGCATAGGGCCTCCGGTGGAGCAGTGGGTAAGAATTTAACTGCTAACCAGAAGATTGTGAGCTCAAACCCATTAGCTACTGCACAGAAGAAAGCTATAACAATGTACTTCTGTAAAGATGATAGCCTTGGCAATCCTCTTAGGCAGTTCTGCTCTGTCCTGCAGGACTGCTGTGAATCAGAGCCAATTCCACAGCAGTGGATGTCTGTGTGTGCTTTCAAGAAATGCTGTTTAACCCACCATGTTCATTACACTCAGTGTTCTGCTTGGTTTTGATGGGATCCTACTGTATACAAATTCATGGTCATCTTTTCCTTCCAGGCAGACTTGCACCTGTAACCTGGGCTCCCAAGTCTCTCTGAGTTTCCTTCACTTACACAGTTCTTCTACTTATGGTCAAGATAGCTTTCCATTCAAGTGTTAAGTGAATATGTTAATAAAGAATTTGGCTTTGTCTTTGTTCTAGCATATAAGCATTTGCACATGGGTCACCTCAGTGAGCATCTATTTTATTTAGTAAGATGATGGGTTTTTCTAAAGGCTCTTTGAGAGTCCACAGTTCGTTAACATCCTCTGCTTGGAACTGGACATGCAGTGGTACTGTTCATTTTCTCATGACACACAATCAGTTGCCTGCTTGGCTGTAAGTTCTTTTATCCTCTAGATTTATAACCCCAGTCTCACCACTTTCTCTGACTTTAAGAAGGATTATCTCTAAAGATATGCTGCTTAAAAGAACGTTCCTCACCTCCAATATCTCTTTCATGGGGAAGATAATCACAGTCATACCGTAGAAACCCTCATTTCTGTATGCTCCGATAGACCATTACCTAACATCCCAGCCTTGTTCATTGCTTTCTAAGTAATAGGTGCTACACAAGTATGCAGTCTTTCTCTATAATTAGCTCTTTGTTTATATTGTAATAACAGGGCTATCTACAAAGTTTATCAGCCTTACTTGGGGCTTCATACAACACAGGTTAAATCCCGCTACTTGGTGGTAATGGTTCTCTCAACTTGGCGGAACTTGGAGGAAACTCAGATTACTCGGCATTATTCCTGTCGAACTGCAAAGTATCTTCCCACTGTTGAGTCCTACTCACTGGTGGATACTGAGCTGCTAACTCCACCATCCACATTTCACTATTCCCAAGGCAACATGATGACTCGAGAAAAACAAAAGCCTTTGTGGTTATGAAATAAATTCAGTCTCTTTTGTTAATTTTCAAACATTTCACCAATGACATTGTAAATGTGCGATGTTATGTTTTCAATCAGACCACAGTGGTCCCCAAATATTATGTACATAGGGCAAATGTCAGTGTAACTTTTCGTTACACTGGCAACTTCGTAGATACCCACACCGATGTTCCAATGTTAAATGATTTGTTTATATATGTAAAATACACAAGCTTTAAGCATTGGATGTATGGATGTGAAAGATGATGCAGCTATATAAATTGTAAACAATGGATTTGAGTTCCTTTGGTGGTATGTGGTTATGTAGTTCCAAACTCTTTGCTATATTTTTTTTTCCTTGCACATGCCAGTCATTTAGTGATTTTTCTTTTTCTTTTTGTGGTGTGACCACTCTTTAACTTGAGCTCAAAGCACAAGCATATCACTGTTTAATGTTACCCAACAAGAGTTAGTGTTAAGTGATGACAAGTTCCCTTTCAACCCGCTATACTTTTGCCGCATTAATGAATGACAGCTGGATAAGGAGATGTGTGCTAATTTCGTTGCTCACCCTGGGATCCTGCATGAGCCCACTGAATTAGAGCTCCTTTTACGGAATGAGCAGTACACATAGGTGCATGTGACGAGACATGACTCGCAGAGAGCCGTGGAGTTTGACCAAGTGGTGTATGTACGTGCGTGTATGTTTCGTTTTGTTTTTACTATGCAAAGATGGGAATTGCACAAACTTTCAAAGACTAGTGTCTGAAGAACTTTACAAACAATACTTGAACAATTCTTTTCTTTACTGGCATCCCATCCTGTTTTTACAGCCCTTGTTGCTGCCATTGCTAATTTTCTTTTTTGAATGGTTTGTAATTTTTAAGTGCACAACCTGAAGTTCTGTTTGACGTTAATCAACTCATTCATATCTTGTTGGCTGCCTGTGAATGGAGATTCAGTAGTCTTTATATGCATCTTTCAGCCAAGTATGTACTAATATCTCCTTTAATGTAGAATGTTGTGACATTATATTTTGATCATTTTTCTTCAACCATTTTTTTGTGTTCTTTTGCATTGTTGATTAAATGGCCTTTGGCCTGATATCATCAGAGTTTAAAACTGGTCTCCCAATCAAAAGCTCACTGAAAATTTAAGTACTCAATGAAGAAAAATAAAATCTCTGATTAATGGTAAATAAATTCTTGATTAGGATTTGGTTTCATTGGGTTCATTGGAAGTCATTTGCTTCTTATAAATCAGAAAACAGAAAGAAAGAACCCTAGAGTAATAGTGTCATAATTGTTTGGGTTGGTTTTGTTTGGGTTTTTGGAATCAAGCTTAAAAACTATGATGACGATAGAAGTATCTGATAATGCAAATGGTATTATAAAAATCATTCATGTGAGATATTTCCTCACATTTCACATCATATTGGTTACAAAATGTATTCCCTCTGTTTCATAAATGTCTGTCAGTGTCTTTTCTTCATCCTCACTGCTGGTGCCTTGAGTTAAGCTCAACTAGCATGTGCTGCTGAGGCGGAAAGGGGTTCTTGTGCCACATCATTTCTTGGGTGAAAATCGTCCAGGGGAATCTTCATTTCGTATAGGACATATCTTCTATCTCTAAGATAAAGCCCCAGCTTAGTAACTGAAGAGTTAGGCCTACCTTTCATGATCAGGTCCTTGTTTGCTTCCCCCCTCACACACACCTACTCTCATCCTCTCATAGTTGACCCACTTCAGATTCCACTGAAAGGGCCTCTTCAACCCAAGCTTGGACAATCTAACATCAATTTTATATCGAGAAGAGCCCGGGTGGTACAAAGATGCAGCATTCTGCTGGTCACCCTCTGAGGTGGTTTTACTCAATCAGGTGGAGTTGTTGAGTGGAAAACAGTCTCCACAGAACCTACTAACAAATATGTCCATTAAGAATAATTCATCATTTGTTCCTATATAATTTCCTGTAATTGGGAAACATTTTCTAAATAGCGTGAACAATATAATAAAAAGCAATAGATTACCATTTATATTTTACCTTACAGAAATACTGGATTTCTTTTTTTACATGTTTTTCATTTAAGTTACTCTGTTCTGCAGACTGATATTGATACGAATTCTGCTTCACGCTTCTTTGTTCACTCATTGGGTAAGGTAACTCCAAAACCAGAAAATATCCAGATAATGGAACAGCATCAGTCCTTCAATGAAAAAATCACAAATAATTAAAGAGATAATCCATTTGCTCATGATGGAGTTAATAAGCGACTTCAAATTTAAGATAGATGGCTTTTAGGTCAATGTGCAAGGGTTAGGAAATTCTATGCGTAGATTTATTCACACAACAAATATTTATCAAGCATTTCCATGTCCCAGGAATTCCTAGGAATTGAAGGAATATTTTTTAAAAATAGTTGTCTAAAGTTGCTCATAATTTAGTGGAGAGAGACATAAACACTTCTAAGGCCTAAACAAATAGTCCCTAGGACCACAGGAACCTCAATATCCTTGACCTTGAGGCCAGAAGAACCAGGTGGTGCTTGTTCATTCCGAAACTGATTACAGTAGAAGTTTCTGAAAAGAGTAGAACAAAAATGTGGAGTGAACTCAATAAAAAAATACAAGGATAGACACTGGTGGTGGTGGTGGTGGTGGTGGTTACACACTGACATCTAGGAACCAACTCATAGCTGACATTCCAGCTGGCTTTAAGGCAGTATAATCACACAGGAAGAGGTGACCATCTTTTTCTGTGGAGCAGCTGGTGCATTCGAACCATATGCCTTTCAGTTGGCAGCACAGCTCCTTACCACTAGGCCAAATCTGATCTTTCGTCATTCTTCAAATCTGGAGCAGAAAAT